GCAGACCGCATCGACAAGAACAAGACAGCCGACTTCTTCGTCATGAAAAAGACGCTCAAGTCCTTTTGTAAACCCGATGCAGGGCGACTCGCGTGGGACGAATGCATCCAAGAAGTCAACCACACCATCGCCGAGGCGTACCTGCTGGCTAACTACAACGCACTAAGTCAGCTCAAGGCTGGGCGACCTCTGTGTAAGATCGATACCCCGTTCTATCAGCTGTGTCTGAGTCTAGCTACAAGCGTTCCACGTCGAGCGAACTACGAGAAGTTCTTGGTGACGCAAGCGACCAAGGATAGGCGAAAGCTCTGGATCGACAGCGGCAAGGTCGGTAAGCTAAAAGACTTCCCCGCGACTGTGCCGGAGTTTTCCGAAACGGGATACCAGGAATGGTTGAAGACACAGAAGGTCAAGAATGCGGATCTGGAGAACGCAAACGATGAGTTTGGGAAGATGCGAGGAGATCGGGCTCAGGCGAAGACGGAGCACTTGAACCAGGGTTGGTTTCAAGCGGCAGCAAAGCAAATGGCTACGAATGCTAAGAACAGTGTCGTGCCGAACTTTGCCAAACGACTGCGAACGTACGTCATCGAGCATTATGGACCGAAGCGTGCTGCAGCGCATGAGGTTCTCAACAAGACGTTTGCTACCGAGGAGTTCAATTCTACGTACGTTCGCGTGGTAGAACCCGTCATTACAGAGCTGCGCAAGAAGATCCCGCGGACGAAAGATGGTAAAATCAACTGGGTACCTCACGACTTGCTGCCGATGTTCTACAAGTTCCTGCAGTTCGTCGTGGGGTACAACGAGGAAAAGATGGGCAAACCGGACTTCGTGGAGAAGCGGACGCTCTCTCTGCTTTCGACCAAGCGCGGGTTCGAGGCCAGCTACTGCAAGGTTGACTCGACTGGGCTGAAGTCGCTGCTCAAGCGCAGTCCGGGCGTTAGCCGTGGTCTCTGGGTTGTTCATGACGGACAGATGTGGACATTGGAAGACAGCTTAAAAACTAGCGCACCTTGGATCGCGATATCCGGTCAGTGGTGGCGTCGACTCTTCCGTGTGGACGAGTTGGAAAAGCCTGGAGCCCGCAGCCTCCAACGCGAGAACACGACTGACGGATACGGCGTAAACGTACGCATGAATCAACCGACGCGCGGGAAGCGGAAAAAGAAAAAAAAATCAAAGACGGGAAGACTAAAAAGACGATGGACAATAATGCATCCGAAGTACTGGGATTGCCGCTCGCGAAGACCCCGAAGGGAAGAAATGAGGAGTATGATGTAGTGTGGGGATCGACCCTGGGCGAACGGATTTCATCACGGAGGTAACGAAGATGGTAAGGTGGTTCGGTTTCGGACGTCCGACTTCTATCAAGCAAGCGGATACTCTCGTTCAAACCGCAAGTCCAATCACTACATCGACAAGTCACCTCGCGTCCGCGAACTGCTCCAGAACACTCCAACGAAAAAGATTTCATCGGTCGAAACGTTTTGCAACTCCATCGAGTTTTGGTTTCAGCACGATCACGAGCTGCTTTCTTTCTTCATGGACCCGTTCTTCCGTAAGCTGAAGCTCCGCAGATACACTCTCCGCACTGCGCAACTAGACTGCGCTTGCTTCGAGCTAGCGGGCGCCCGAAGAACAAAGGCGGTCGTAGGCTTCGGGGACTGCGGGATGACTGGCGAGGGCTTGATCAAATGCAGCGTTGCCGGTCCGGTGAAAGCATTTGCGTGCAAGCTCGCCCGCTACTGCGAGCTTGTGGTGGTGGACGAATTGCGGACAAGCAAAAAGCACTTCGACTGTCAAACAACGGACGACCTTAAGAATCAACGCGTCATGCGCAAGTGCCGAGACGGCGTTGTCCGCAAGGTTCCCGGTTACAAAGTTCTGCACTGCTTGCGCAAGCACGGCGGATGTGGTATGTCAGTCGACCGAGACGTGAACGCGGCCAAGAACATCCTCAGCATACTGCAGAACCAGCTTGCAGGCATCTCCGAACGGCCTCTCCGCCTCCGGCGGTAGTCAAGACAAAACCAATCTTCAGCCCATCAATTTGCTGGATGGTCTCACTTGTGTGAGAGCGACTCCTCCTCAAGGAGGAGCGACGTTGACCGCCGGTTCCTCTCAGACCAAAAAAGAGGAAATCAGCATTACGAGGGCTAGAGTGCTCCATCGATGGTTTCGGTCGTCCAAACGACCAAGGTCTCGAGAGGTTCTAGTTCGTCGGGTTGCAGTAGAGTAAGTCAGATTTGAGGAGAGCTTTCAAGGTTCTTGCCAATAACGCTTCCGTGACCCGAAGCTATCCCAGCCTCCTCCTCCGCCCTAGTACCAAGTATGACGCTAACTCATATGTACAGTAGTTCATGTAAGCAATTCCTAACGCCAAATTCATAATTAGCACTGGCTGAAGTCTGATTAAGTCCATCGGTGCTGCTTACTACTTTAACTCATTCCTCCTTTAGTTTCATGCTCTTCTTCATCGAGCACGATGCTGGTATAGGCCTAATTGACTTATGCGAGGTCGCTGCCACCGCGACCGATGAGACTTGGTCGGTTGAAGATTTCAGCCAAGTTGAAGCTGCCGTAGCTGCCATCGCATTTACCGTATTATCTACTGCAGAGATTAATCGTGCTGCAAAAAGTTCTGTAAGTTAGACCGTAAAATCGGTTCATCTTTCTCGCCAGAGCTAAAGCAAAGCGAGATTGCTCCCTCAGTTGCTAGACGGTCGTCGTGTCTGCTACAAAGTGCAACAACGTTTCCCAACACTCTTAACGTGAAGCATGAGATTAAAAAGCTATCACAATGAAAGTGAGGCTGTCAGCCACGCTTCTCTTTCATCTTGAGTATCGAGCTCTAGTTGGATATACCGAAGCTGTGATTCCATTACTGTATGCAGTTTACTTATCCATCCTCTTCCACCTCCCCAGTGCAAAATACTACCCACATTCACGTTCACTCACACACGATCAGCTACAAACTACGGCTGGTAGTATCGTAGCAATGCAAGTACAGAAATATTATCCCTTATTGGCTTCACATGATCATCAAGCGCAAACTCGGGTTTTCACTTCTTTACCAGCTGGCGTTTGCACTGGAAACCGAGATGGAACAGCTTCATGGTCGATTGTTCGTGTGGATAATCATTTTGCTGCAGCTACCGCTGGTGCACTTTGGTAC